CAAACATTTCAAATGGAGATGCCAGACCCCTTTTGAATGGGGATAGGAAGGTTGCAGACCACAGGTTGAAAACATTGAGCTTAGGGGATGTGAACATCCAGTAAACAAATGCTTATCTTGTAGTTGAAGCAAAATGCAGGACAATGTAGCACTTTAAAGGCTAACAAGATGGTTTATTAGATGATGAGCTTTCGTGGGCCAGACCTGCTTCCTCAGATCAAGTAGTGGAAGAAAATAGTCACAACCATATATACCAAAGGATACAATTTAAAAAAATGAACACATATGAAAAGGACAAATCACATGTTGAGGAGAGGGGGGGGGTGGGAGGGGGGGGGGGGGGAGAGAAGGAAGGTAAGTACTTACCTTCCTTCCTTCCCCCTCCCCCCTATCCCCCCCTGCTGTTCTGAAATGTGATTTGTCCTTTTCATATGTGTTCATTTTTTTAAATTGTATCCTTTGGTATATATGGTTGTGACTATTTTCTTCCACTACTTGATCTGAGGAAGCAGGTCTGGCCCACGAAAGCTCATCATCTAATAAACCATCTTGTTAGCCTTTAAAGTGCTACATTGTCCTGCATTTTGCTTCAGCTACCCCAGACTAACACGGCTACATTTCTATCACTATCTTATAGTTGACATGCTAGTTGATTTGTAGTTCTTGGTGCAAATTGCACCTGCTATTGGATTAGCCAATTAATCGAAATTTTACATTCCTAATTGAGCTTTATATATAAATAGTTATTCTAGGCTACTGCACCGTATACTACACCCAGACACTGAGATAGTTACTGAACTCTTGAACAAGCCATCACAGCTTTTTGAATTACGGATGTTTGCTTCATGGCACTTAGCTGAGGCAAGCTTTAATTGTGTTCTAACCCTACTCAAGTATAAACTGGAAAGATATGAACCTATATTGTGAGTTTGACACTGGAAATAGAGTTCTTCCACTTTTCTTAGAAAACTTTTGGAAGTAGTGGTCTTAAGAGCAGCATTTGTGAATTACAGAGAATGCACATTCTTATGAGAAGACCGAAAGAATCTGTGGGTTTATTTCCCCCCCATAATTCTGGGCACTATTTAACATGTGATTTATTTCAGCTGCCTTGTGTGAACTGCAAAAATTTTACATGTAGCTATTTCAGCATTTATGGCATCTCTTTGTAATAAGTTTGTAATGGGGGTTCTGCAGCCTTGAAAATGTACTGCTCTTTGAATAAATAATTTTTGCACCCTGAAACTTGCTTTGTGAAAAGGCTATGCTACTTTCTCCCCCTGATGGCTTTTAAATGACTGCTAGCATCTAATAAGAGAGAGCTTGTGTGAACAAGCACCGTTAGTGACCAATCTTTTTATACCTGGATGTTAGCGCCTTCCTTTTTCCAAAATTTGGGTTTTCGGTTTTTAATATCATCTGAAACTTCTGTGAATAAATAAGGAGACCAAACAGTAATTGATTTTAAAATCACTGAGGTTGTTAAATCTGGAAATTAAAAGGACTGACTTGTTGTCCTCCATATTAAGTTGTAGTCTTGTCTGCAGCTTAAATCGTACAAATCTGTTTACCTGGTTGGAAATATTTCGTATTTCCATCAGAACATTTGCTAAATTTGTATCCTTCCGACAGCATGTTACTGGACTGCTTATACAAGTGCCACCAAAACAACTTGCTTGGAAGCCAATATGTTAGTGGTGGAGCAAGGATTAAAATGTTGGAAGACCTTTTATCACTGACTTTGTAGGAGCTATTGTGTTACTTTTTTTCCTTTTGCATCTAATGGAACAGTTATCTGTAGCATTTCTCAGTACACAAACAGTAAATTTAGCCTGCCTTGTTTACACTAAGTCAGTAGGTGGAGCTGGAATAGTGCTGAACACAGACTGGAGCTACTGTACATTTGCAGCTAAGAATTGCCACCATTTTAGAAATCATGCCTAAAACATGGAGATGGGACTTAGATGCTGCTAACATGGCATTCTTTAAGAGCTGGACATGGGGTGGGAGAGAATGTATAGTTATGCATGTTCAGCAGAGCAATTGAGAATGATGGGTGGAGTCTGGGAGAATTGCCAGAACTTGTGGTTCAGATCAACCATTATACAATATATCGGTTTTGGGTCAGTAACAGGAAATAATACAGCAAGTGAAGACCCACATTGTGTGTGAATGTTATTTAAATCCTGTAGAACAAATGCTGTTTTTCTTATTGTACAAGGAAGGACTCTCTAATTAGTAGTTAGAGGCTGAAAAGAATCTTTGCTCTGTGAAATTGTAAATGCTGGTTCCAGTCATGGCAACATCAATATATCGGTTTTGGGTCAGTAACAGGAAATAATACAGCAAGTGAAGACCCACATTGTGTGTGAATGTTATTTAAATCCTGTAGAACAAATGCTGTTTTTCTTATTGTACAAGGAAGGACTCTCTAATTAGTAGTTAGAGGCTGAAAAGAATCTTTGCTCTGTGAAATTGTAAATGCTGGTTCCAGTCATGGCAACATCCTGACAATGCTATTACTTGCTCATAGCAAACACTATTGCTAATCAGGGATGCAAAGGTGTAAACTGTTAACTAGATGAGCCTGGATTCAAAGGTCAACCTTCATGGTTACATGCAGGGCTCTCAGTATGTAAATGTGTAACCACTGACATTTCTTAGGTTACACGTTTACCTAAGTAAACACATTGTAACATCCCTAATGCTAATGGTTACCACTGAATTATTTCCCCTGCTTAAGGCTAATAATGCTGGCTGGGATTTGCTGCTCTTCTTGCTGTGTCTGTAATCTAAATCTTGCAGTGTCCCAGGGAAACTGACCGGTCTTGCTGATAGCCATTAAAACTCAGCTGGCTGCAAAGGACTGTGTGGCTCTTGGCAGCAGTCTGGTGCTCTGAGGCATTAGCTTCATGACCTCACTCTATTTCTTTTCGCCCCTCCCCTCAGCACCCAACCTCAGGTCTCTGGCACCTTCCCTGTGCCAGGGGAGGCTGCACTTGTCTTTCACTGCAGGAGGAAGACTCAGCCCCCTTCTCCTATGTTGGAGAGAGGAGGGTAGGGCCTCATTTCACTGATACTCCCCTATGGACACTTCCAGGCACTGCTGGATGCAGTAAGTTGGAGGGGCTGAGGCATTGGTGTGTGCCTGGGGGAAACACCAGGTTCCACAATCTAGGGAAGGTGAATCACTGCAGTTGAGCTTGCTCTGAGCCAGCAGTTTCAATTGTCCTGCTTCTCACTAGCTACATGGCTGTTCCCTCTGCAGTTATCTGAAACTTGGTGCCCTATGCCCAGGTTGTACCCACTGTGTGTGTGTTGCCTCCCCCAATCTGTAGCTGCTGCAGGCTGAACCCCTTATGACTAGCCTTGCCACATTGCCATTGCTTTTAGAATAGCTGTTGCTGTCCCTCTACCATGTTTCTCCATCCTGTTGCTGGTCTGAACCTCCAGTACCTGGACTGACTTCTCTAGCCAGCCTCTTGCTGCATGCTCAGGCTCTCTGTACTAGTAAAATTGCATTAGTTTTTAATTAAATAGATTAACATTGATCTGGTTTTAATTATTTTTTTTAATGTTAGTTTTCAGCCAGGGCTCAGTCTCTTCTATTCGTGCAGCCTTCAGGTTAGGGATGTTTGAGCATGAACAACTATCCATTTAACCGATAAGCATTAGTGGTCGTAATTAAACTTAGTCAGCTCCAGGCTGGCAGGGCTTGCAGTACTGCTCGAGAGGAGGCTTTGCTGCAGGCTCTGCAGTACAAAACTTATTTAAGCTTTATACTGCAGAGTCTGCAATGTGCAGCTGAGCTTTTCAGTGGTTACATGGTTACCTATTTAACTGACTTTCAACATCCCTACTTCATGTGTACTGGATCAAATGACTGTCTCCTCTTCTATATCCTGTTTCTTGTGTCAGCTCTCAGATCATGCAGTCTGAAAAAGGAGCATGAAACTGTATTGAAAATAAATGGAATAACTTGTTCCCGCCAGAAGTTTCTTTCCTAATTGGTTAGATATTGCTACTTTAAGACAACCACAAAGTATTGTCTGGCCCCTCTACTCTGTTAGGGGCCGTGTGAGGATAGGAGCCTGCACCAGGATTGTCTCTGGGATCCACAGGGCTGCATGTACCAGAACAGAAGTGGTTGGAGTTATTCAAGAGTAATTGTGTGCACGTACAGTTTTCAGTACAGGCTGGGCCTACTAGCTATGCGGGATTGAGGGCCCTTGTTTTGAAAACTCTATGGAGGAAGTGCATGTGTGTATGGCCTGACCAGAGATATGAGGAGTGGCAGAAGGATGCATGCTCCCTACGTCACTGTGACTATGAGAGGAGAATGGATCCTCTGATAGAGAGCATGTGCCGTTCGCTTAACCCGCCCCTTCCCATTTTGCAAGCCATGTATGTATGGCAGAGGCATGCTGCATAGTCTTTCAACTGCTGCAGGGTTGCTGAAAATGAGGTCCAGGATGCATGTGCAAAAAGAAGGGGGGGGTTGGTTAGTGTGGGCTGCCCAAGCATCTGTCTCAGAGCTGTCTTCTAGCCACCCTCATTCCGGCCCTCCTGGCAGTGAGCAGGAAGAGTTTGCTATGAACATCGTAGGGGGTCGCTACAGCTTGGGCCTGTCTTGTGTGGCAACAGGGCTTGGCTCACAGAAACAGAAGCGCACACAGTCTCATTGCAGGTTCACCCGTTTGACTGGGGACTAGGCTCAGACCTTTGAGGTTGCTGCGGAGCACCGCTATTAGTACATGCAGGGGAGAAGGAGCATAGGGTGGAATCTGCCCACCATTAGGATGCATCAGTTGGGGCTGGAGGAATGAGCCTGTCTGAATAGCATCAGCCATGCAGGAGTGGGGGAGGTGGTAGAGCAGGGGCGGGGAGATGGGACTAAAAGGCAGTACTCTGGAGGAAGGGGATGGCTGTGGGAAGGGAGAATTTTATCTCTGCCTCAGTGTGTTGTTCTCTTCTCTCCCCCTTTCCCCTGCCCCGCCCAGCAACGGAAGGTGAATCTGAGCCAAGTCTTGCTTCCAGCATGATGTTGAATGTTGAGGGCGGTGAGGGCTTCGTGGTGAAGGTGCGTGGGCTGCCTTGGTCCTGCTCCGCCGAGGAGGTCCAAAGGTTCTTCTCCGGTAAGTGTGAACCGAGGGCTGCCTCAGCTTGGGCAACATCCTAAGCGGAACTGGCCACTCCACTTGTTAGCTGCATGGGGGGAGAGGCAGGTTCCATAGCGTCCCAAGAAAGGTTAGTCAGAGGAAGTGGTAAAGGGGTCCTGTGGGGAGTCAAGGCACCACCAGGGAATGGAGGAAATCTGTAGAGTACCCTCGCTACTCAAAATAAGTAGCATTTTTGAAGTACTTAATTACCATAAGTAAGAGTTAACTTACAGCATGTTTTTAGTATTTGCATGAACAAGTACACTCACTATTTACTGAACAGATTTAAAGTCCCATATTGCAATTTGTTGTTTTGGTTTTTTTTTTCCAGATGGGATAAGCATTCTTGCAGTCTTAAATAAGGCTTTGAGTATTTTCAATTTAAAAAAAAAAAAAAAAAAAAAGGCAAAAACCCAGTGTCGTCTTTAGAGGTCTGTAAGAGGGGTATAGTTTAGCTTCTTTTATAACTCAATTCATCTTGGGTATTGATTGCCTTCAAGGCATGCTGGCAATCAAACTTGCCTTGCATCTCTCAGTTGATTTCAGTCGTAATAGTAAATTTAAAAAAAGACTATTTAAATTCAGCTAAACTAAGAAGGAAAACAGTCATCTTTGTAGTATTATAGTAAATGTCTATAGCCATTTAGGATTAAAGCGAATATTTCCAGGAACAACACTTAACAGCAGTTATTCAGATCCCTGTATGAACAGAACTGTCTGGGGTTTCTCTTATAGAATGTAAAATTCAAAATGGATCTTCAGGCATCCGTTTCATCTATACAAGAGAAGGCAGACCAAGTGGAGAAGCTTTTGTTGAACTTGAAACAGAAGATGATGTGAAATTGGCACTGAAGAAAGACAGAGAAACAATGGGACACAGATATGTTGAAGGTTTGATTTAATTGGCCTAGTAATCGATTAAATGTTCGTATCAGCTTCTCTTTTTATAACTTGTGGTGTTTAAATGCATGTAAGTTGATTTAAGTGAATTTTAAGATTATACCAGTTGGCTATCTTCTCAAATGGCAAATGACTTAAAATGGTTTTTACTGCATTCCAAAATTCATTAATTCTAAGTGCCTCTTACAGTTTTCAAGTCAAACAACGTTGAAATGGATTGGGTTCTGAAGCATACTGGTCCTAACAGCCCTGATACTGCTAATGATGGTTTTGTACGTCTTAGAGGACTCCCATTTGGCTGTAGCAAAGAAGAAATTGTACAGTTCTTTTCAGGTATGTGGGGTATAAGTATCAGCTGTAGCATTATGGGTCAGTGCACATCAGTAGCACTGAACTCTTGCCCATTAATGCTTTCAACTGGGCAAACTGTGCCATAGTGTGTTAAATTATATTGAGCTCTGTTTGCAGATAAATACTGAATAGCTAATAGCTTTTAAATATCGTTATCTGCTTGTTTAAAATATCGGTTATCTAGGTAACTCCATCTAAACACATTTGTTTTACTTAGCTCCATAGAAAAGTCAAAATTGTATTCTTCAAATTGAGAATTAAAGTGAATATTTAAATATTTGAGGTTAATTTCTACATGCTGTTCTAGCCATTCCACTCATGCTGCTCAGTCAAGCACATACATGCTTGAGCCTTTTTATTGCTGGACTCAGTAAAATGGGTGGAATCTTTAAGGATGACAGACTAATGTTAGGCTTAAAATTTCTGAATTCAGGTATGTAGAGTCAATATTGTACAGTTCTGTCATTAAGTACAGAGTAGTTGTGATACAGAAGTTTGGTTTCTTCACATTGAATAAGTGTTTTATGAACTTTGTTTTAGGGTTAAAGACTGAATTGTAAATTTTATGACTTTGAATACTTGCCAATTTGTTTTTAATATTGATTTCCTATTTTGGGAATTGGAATGAGATCTACAAATGCATACAATTAGATCTTGATTGGGCCTAAACCTTACCTGTCTGTTTGAAAGCAGAAAGTGTCAACTTCTAAATGTGACTTTTGCTTAAGTTATAATCCTGAATATTAGAATGTCTAATGGAAAAAAAAAATCCCAAAGCACTTGACACCATGTTAAAGGTTTAGTAAGGACACTTTTTGTTTTTAATGTAGGCTGAAAACTGATGATTATTCTATTTTAGACTGCAACTAAATTGTTTTGTGTATTTTGGCAAATTGATGTATTGAACCGTGACCCTTTTTTAGCATATAAATGAACTGTTTATCACTGTTCGTGTGGTTAACAAGTAACTTGTGAGCAGTGGTGGTAGAAATTATACATGTACCTTGTATGCAAAGTTCTGCTTTTTCTTTAGCAGTTATACTTCTGAAACGAGTCATGAATTTCTTAGATAAGCGGTACTCTACATGTATAATACTGGATTTAGAGATTTAAAATGTTTGTATAAGAGTATTGTCTTATATGAATGTTACTTTTATAAATACTACGATGTGTAAAGCTGTTACTGTTTGACTTAAGTTGTGTGAATTTAACAGATTGAAACATTTCGTAAAGTTCTCTTAAGAGGCTCTGCTTAACTTGTCTTAACACACCCTGCACTATTCAATGAAAATTGATTTTACTGCTACAAAGTAAAAGTTTTTTTTCTGCACAGCAGGATGGGTTAAGAATGTAAACTGAATGGTATGTAATAGTGAAGTTTCATGTTGACATGTTTTCTGTTAGAATGCTAATTTAGAACTAGCATACCATTCGCTTACAAGTGTTAACTTTCTGGTATATTTAAAGCTATAAGAAAAATTCATGCCTGGGCTTGTGATGTTAATATTGCCCCCTACTGGGGTTATTTGTCCTTGGGTTGAAGGGTTGGAAATCGTGCCAAATGGGATAACATTGCCGGTGGACTTCCAGGGGAGGAGTACGGGGGAGGCCTTCGTGCAGTTTGCTTCACAGGAAATAGCTGAAAAGGCTCTAAAGAAACACAAGGAAAGAATAGGGCACAGGTGGGGATGGATGGTTGGTTGGATACGTCACTTTTCTTATGGTAAATGCTAATTAAATCCATATTCTCTCTTCTTAAAGGACAGATTCATAAACAATTAAAACTTAGTCTAGTATTTGAATTTCTAACTTAAATCATGTAAGTAAAAGTATTGTCACCACCTTGTTTTTTGTGTACATAGCATATAATATTTACTCATCCTACAAAATTGAAAATTTAAGTACTGAATGAGGATAAATTCAATTAACTTAAACTATAAATTTGATAGCTTAAAAACTGACAGAAGTTGAGAGATTATGGCTTTAAATTTCTCAAGTAGCACCTATAATATCTCTAGCTGTAAAGACACATATAGTACCCTATTACCATAAGAAAATGTGATAATTTCTAAACTTGTTTTTATAAGTTGAAATGTAACAAATTTTCTTATTGTATTACTATTCAATGTAATAAGCATAGCTTTCAAGAAATTGTCACAAAGGGTTTTTATTCTATTTTACTTGTGACTATTTTTCATTGAAGCATGCATTTTTTTCCTATGCTGTACCACTGAAGCATAGGGTGGGTTGACTAGCACATATGCAAAGCTTTTTTATAGACTTCTGATGGGTTAAAATCTTGGTGGAGACTAGGTTTTTAACCCTCTTTATGTATTGCCGCGTGCGCAAAACATGAAAGTGATGAGTTGAGTGGACTTGTCTCCCTCCTATTTATTTTTTTTTGACAGCCATTAAATTTAAACTTTACATGCTCCCCCACCCTTAAGGCTGGGCTACTGTTAAGTATGAGGAGCCTATAAACCCTTCAGTAATTGTAATTTCTTGAAAATTCACTATTTTGAAAGTAAAATAGTATTTGAGTAGAATTTGTCATTGCCTGTATAACAAAGAAACCTGGCTTAAAATAGACTGCCAGTTTCAAGGCTATGACTAGACTATCTTGTTCTAATTTCAATTTAATACTGACTTAATATTCCTGTGTGGAGAATTAAAGACTGACTATCTTTCTTATGCGGAAAACATCCTAGGTATATTGAAATCTTCAAGAGTAGTCGAGCAGAAGTCCGTACTCACTATGATCCTCCCCGCAAATTACTGGCCATGCAGAGGCCAGGTCCTTATGACAGGCCTGGTGTTGGAAGGGGCTATAACAGTCTTGGCAGAGGAAGTGGTTTTGAAAGAATGAGACGTGGAGCTTATGGTGGAGGTATGTATCATAAGGTTTTCAGTTACAGGCGGCCTCCAACTTGCAATGTGAGGAAACGTTGCAAGTCGGGGGAGTCGTAACTCGAACTCTCATTTACGATAGGCGCCATGTGCCGTCTTAAATGTGGGCTGAGGACATAAGTTGGGGGTTTTCGGCCCCTTCCGCATTTACAACCACTTTTGTAAGTGCGGGGGGTCGTAACTCGGGCAGTCGGAGTCGGGGGTTTTCTGTACTTTAAAACCATAACCTATATTGCATGTTATACTATTTCATACCTATTGGCGTGTGGTTAAAACCTGGAAAAATCAAATTCAGGAAGCAGAAGTCTAGCTTCAAATTTCTTAGTATGTTGCATACTAGTTTCTCTATGTAGGACAAGCATTTTAATGTATTTTATTTGGGTTTTTTTTATAGGCTATGGAGGCTATGATGACTACAATGGATACAGTGATGGCTATGGCTTTGGTTCTGATAGATTTGGAAGAGGTAAGTCTTCTTTAATAGGGGTGGTAAAAAATTTTAAATACATCCAAAATGTAACTGCCAATACATCTGAAAGATCTAGAATGGACTCTTCTCTCCGCAGGTATGTCGGACCATAGATACGGAGATGCGAGTTCTACATTCCAAAGCACAACTGGTCACTGCGTACACATGAGAGGATTACCTTACAGAGCTACGGAGAACGACATTTATAACGTGAGTTCAAATACTTTTGTGTATAAACAAGCAATTTCTCCTAAATCTACCACAATATTTTGCCAGATGAAGAAAATCTTATGTAAATATTTTCTACCTAGTTCTTTTCACCTCTGAACCCTGTAAGAGTCCACATTGAAATTGGACCAGATGGTAGAGTGACCGGAGAGGCAGATGTTGAATTTGCTACTCATGAGGATGCTGTGGCCGCCATGTCCAAAGACAAAGCAAATATGCGTAAGTGTGACTGTCTTTCCTAAAGATGTCTTTGAAGAAAAGTGAAAACACTACAGCTGAAAGCTTGTATTAAAATTATCGGTGACCTGTTTTGTAACATGGTAGAATAGTTATCTAAGACAAGACTGTCGATGTACAGATGGATTAAAGTTATACGTGTAATAGGGTTTGTATAGTTCACATCCTCTATTTGGTGTGACCTGACAGATTGTGTGGATTCTGTAGGAATTAGTCTAAAGCCAGACTTGCTGTAGACATCTGAGCTATCTTAAATTGAGATGATACTCTGTACCACACATCATAATGTCCGATACATCTTTCAATACTCTGTTAAACATGCTTTTCCTTTCAGAACACAGATATGTAGAACTCTTCTTGAATTCTACAGCAGGAGGAAGTGGTGGTGCATATGGCAGCCAAATGATGGGAGCAATGGGTATGTGTGAACAGTCTAACTGCATTTTTATTCCAAAACTTGATATTTAACAAAGCTGGCTAATTTTATGCAGCTCCTGCTTATTCTATGCCTGGCATAAAAACTGAAATTCAACATTCTGTCTTAATCACACAGTCAAGGAATCGGAAGGGGTAGTTCAAGATTGGAACACTAGCACATTGCCAGGTATATAAACCTTTTGGGAATACATTAAAACAATCAATTAGGTTGTTAAATAAATTGTGCTGAATGTGAAGAGTGTGATATGAGTGCTTTTCTATAAGTGTGATCTTGCACAAATGGTATGGGAGATGCTAGTTATCCTTGTCGTGTCTTTTTTCTCTCTTCCCCCCTCCCCCCCCCCCCCCCCCACCCCCCGGCTCTGAGTTGATAGAGGGTGTATCAAACTTACAACTATCTCATGAGTAAAGTGTCAGCGTAAATCTTTTTGGAAACAGGGAGCAAAAAAGCCCCACTCTAAAAACTTAAGCTCTAAGATATCATAGCAAACCTAAAATTACCAAGTTTAAAATATGTTTAAGTCCAGTAATGTCCTGTTACTGCTATTTAGGAACCATTTCTCATAGCAATAGGAGGGTGTATCAAACTTACAACTATCTCATGAGTAAAGTGTCAGCGTAAATCTTTTTGGAAACAGGGAGCAAAAAAGCCCCACTCTAAAAACTTAAGCTCTAAGATATCATAGCAAACCTAAAATTACCAAGTTTAAAATATGTTTAAGTCCAGTAATGTCCTGTTACTGCTATTTAGGAACCATTTCTCATAGCAATAGAAGCTTGGATGCAACATGGTAAAGTAGATACTCCTCTTGAAATTTACTTTGCTGGTCTCTTCAGATAAAATCTTGAAGTGGTGGTTGGCTTCTATATCTTTGTGGTGTGTGTGTGTGTGTGTGTGGGTGATGCTTGTAAAGCACTTTGATTGTGGAATGAAATTTCATTATTTCAGAATACTGTACTGTAATGTTTTAAGTGTTTTTAAAAGCATATTTCATAACTTCAACTGTAGTGTTTTGTAGAGGGTACTGTACTCTTGCAGATTGTACTTTTCAAAGGGAGCTTGAGTGTTTGAGAACTTTTAGTAGTAGTTGCTGACTCAGTAACGTACCAAGTTCTCATACAGGTATAGAAACTTTCCCATGTGGTGCATGCAAATACAGGGTAGGAATAAGCCTCAGACTGTCTGAAGGATTGACATTCCAGATGTCCTAGTATTGACTTCTCCTGTGCCTCTGAAAGTACAGAGGTGTCTCAGTTGGCTTAACTATAAAAAATTTCCAGAAATCCATTACATGGATTTTTGCTACGCATTGTCAGACATTTCTCACTTGCACTTCTGAATAGTGGGCATTTTGGGGATGAGACACACCAAAATATAGCACCCCATTTAAAGTCTCTTGTAGCTGAGTAGACTATTTAGACTATTTAAGCCTTAAATCCTCAGACATATGGTGACTTACGTAGTGATGAGTGAACTGATGCTCTTCTGGTGAAATAGAGTAGGGAGCAATACAACGTTACTATTCTTAATTGGTTTTTTAGCCTAGATTAAATACCATTTAGAATAACAGGTATCTTGCTCTTGGCCAAATTTCTACTAGTGAGAAACAAGAAAAATAGGCAGAATGGTGTCTAAATAGACCAGATATGTGGCACCACAAGGGCTAACATCTGTTAGGACGTTCATAATTTGGTAGTATGTAGATCTGTTTGTTGGACAGATTGTTGGCAGTCAAGGTATTAACGTTCATATCCTTAACTTGAAAGGAAACCAATCCAGTTATGGTGGTCCTGCTAATCAGCAGCTGAGTGGGGGTTATGGAGCAGGCTATGGCACTCAAAGCAGCATGAGCGGATATGGTAAGATGTTTTTTTAAAGCTTTAGGTGGTTGTCATACAGTTGGCTTGCACATCGTGTGTAAGGATCTCTTTGTAGGAGTGTAAGGACAAAGAAAGATAGGCTGATGGGCAGCACCACCTTAAAATAGAGCTTTTGTTGGCATATGTTTTCAAAGTATGGTATTAGGGGGAATTGGTTTTCTAAAAGTCAAATTCTTCTGAAATATGAAAGATGGAAAGTGGATCCATTTCTGTTTGGGTAGCTACATTACATAAGCTAAGTAAATCCACCCTTCCAGTAACTACAAGCTTTATGGCTTGTTGTCTTCTCTCTCGTAGGTATAAATGGGGAGCAGTTCCATTGCAGTTACTAGTTATACCAATGTGAGAAAAAAACCAGTCCTTTGCCAGTGCTTTGTTTCCCAAAATAAAAGCAGGATATACTAGAAATGTAGTGTATGGACTTAGGTCTTTCAGTGAAATAACAGACTCTTTTGGTGAAGAAAGCAACAACTTTTCATTTTTAAATATCTGGAAGGTTTGTCTGTGGTAGTAGTAGTGAAGTGTGTGCAAGGTGATGAGTGGATTTGAGTCTCAAGAATTAAGCACTTGAGGATGAAAGGGGTGTGGAGTTGAATCTCTCACCCAGTCTTGTACTATGATAAATAGGAAAACTTTTCAATTATTCGTTTGTTTTTTCCTTTTAGGTAATCAAAGCGCAATGAACAGCAGTTACTACAGCAGTGGAAACCGTGCATCAATGGGAGTGAATGGAATGGGCGGGATGTCCAACATGTCCAATATGAGCGCTGGCTGGGGAATGTAACTGACTGACTTTTGGTCAACCTTTTTTAAAAAAACAAAACAAAACAAAAAACTAAGTTTAACAGTTTTGCAATACAAGCTTGTGATTTATGCTTTACTGTAAGTGAAATCAGGATTATTTTAAAACTTCAGGTTCAGTATTTTTGAACACATGGAAATAAACATTCACTTAGGGTGTAATAACCAAGTTGAGTAAAGACTATAACTGTTAAACAATTTTCAGCTTTTTCTCAAGTTAGTTTTGTTGTAGGAGCGTATTTAAACAGTAAGCGTATTTAGGTTAAAGCTGTTTCAATTATGTTAAATGTTGCTCTTTTACCATATTACATCCAACACTGTTTTGAATGCATGTTGAGAAACATGCTTTTTTGTAAACTGAAATATAGGGGCTATGTCTGCAATTCAAAGTGAACATTTGGCATGTTAGTTCTAGTTTCTTTCTTTTAATATCTTGTAAGGCACGTTTAAGCTTTTTTTTAAGTTAATGGGGAAACATGTTGAGATGTGATACAGCTACTTTAGGATTTTGGTCTTGGTGTTCGTATAAAATTCTGAGGCCTGAGTTAATCTTTCATTGTATGGTGATTTCTTTTTTTAGGTGTATTGCGCTAAGTGAAACTTGTTAAATAAATCTTCCTTTTAAAAACTATTCTCTCCATTTGATATTCTGTGTTCCATCCTTCATAACTACAAGGGGTGAAGAGTTGTAATTGACATTCTTGCAAATACAGATGCAGATAATTTTAGGTACTGCTAACCCAGTAGCATACATATGCCAGCCTATCTAGTTCTACTGCTGGGAGTGCTGCTGATGAATAGCATTCTGTACTGCATTCCTGGACAAGGCTATTGTTTCTGACAAGCGAATCTATTCCTTTGCCTGGTTGGTGCCACTTGGTTACCATCGAATCAACATAACCGTTTTTAAAAGCGGTCTATAATCATGTCTATAGATGCAGAGTCCTGGAGTTTATAGCAGGGAGCTAAGAACAGCAGTAAAAACACTGCCTGAGCTTGTACATAGGCGGTATATTACAAGTTTCATGATCCTGAACCTGTAGATCTGTCCTGAGACTCACTGTTGTGAGTTTTAAAACATGCTGCAGATGCACTGCTTGAGGCTAGAATGAGTTAACATTTCTATGTAGACTAGATTCTGCATCGAATTCCATGAGGAGTCACATCTCAAACTTTTATGTTCATAAAGCTTCCTAGAGCTGCTCTATAACCTATATTCAACCCAGATTTGTTTCTGGGCCTTAGTTTTTCCTACCACAGTCCAAAACTTAAATCACTATAGGGCAGTGGTCACCAACCATTAGATTGGGATCTTCTGATAGATCTTGGAGTCTGACATGATCCTGACTGGTTTGGCCAAGAGATTATCAGCTGCCCATCTCCTGCCCTTTCCCTTGGAGCTGCCCCAAGGGAAGGATCACTGATAAGGTGCCCACTCTGTACCCTTTCTCCACAGAGCAGAGAGGTGGCAAAACAGGACCTGGGATGGAGTTTGCTGGCTACTTAAGGGGGAGTGGTCCACAGCCAAGGCAGGGTGAGCCTGCCTAACCCCACTGCGCCACCAACCAAGAGCCACCTGAGATATGCAGTGTCCAGCTGGTGCCCACATCCCAAATGCCGACCAGTCATGAATCCCCTCCTGCCCCTCAAGCTCTGAGCACCCCTGCATCCAAATGCCGTCCCAGAGCCTGCACCTAGAACCCCTCCTACATCCTAACTGCTTGTCCCAAGAGCTGCTCAGAGCCCCTGTTACACTCCAGATCCCTTGAGCCAAGACCAGAGCCTGCACCCCAACACTCTGTCCCAGCCTGGTGAAAGTGACTGAGGATGGGCAAGAAAAGGACGACGGAGTGAGCAGGGGTGGAGCCACGGAGAAGGGTATTTATATTTGAGGTAGATCTTGGATTGCTCTTCTCTTTTTGAATTTCTCGTGCTTAAAAAGGTTGAAGACCAGCACAATAGGGGCCGTGCAGTAACATGGCTGACAAATCTGTACTGAAATACTAAGGTGCTGTGTAAGCATCTCCTATGGTTTCTTGCTAACAACTGCCAATGTGCTTTGTTCCCCCACTCTCTTGGGAGGCCATCAGAACACAAATATGCCCCTGACTGTACTTCACACTTGAATAACTCATTATTCAGGTGCTATACAAGTGAAGGAGAAAGCATTTAGCTGCCATAGATGTCCATACTGGAAAAGGGCACTAGTTTAACTACATTGAAAAATGAACACAATAGCAGTACAAAGAAATTAAACAGTACTTTGACCATTGTTTATTATATTGACTTGGTAATTGCAAGCTAACCAACTCAAATGAGTTAGTCCTTCAAGCTCTTCTAGGAAAGCTAATTCACTTGATGTTGTAGTTTCCAATTCATGTATCCCCAATACTACTAGAGCTAGGGAATATTTAAAGTGTAGGTAGCTTTCATCACAGGACCTAATCTTTGAATTACAGACGGAGATTAATGTATGAATAATACTGGGTACCCCAGACAAGCAGCAGAGCTGAAAATTGGAGTCCCCTGTTCTATGGCACAACTACATCCTATCTTAAAACATCCACTGAGGCCTGAGAAGGTAGTTTAAGAAACGGACATCTCTGCTATTGTATCTTTCAAAGTACAGTATCTGGGTTGAACAAAAATGACCAAAATATGAAATGTATTTCAGCTTACTGAACTTCGACTTTGCAAATAAGCTTCCTACAAAGTTAAGTCCCTCCCCTTTAAGCAGTGCATTAACTTCACCAACTCTCCAGTAGCTTGTTCTCTTCTCAGGCTGAGATTTGCATGACCTGTCAACAGTCTGAACATGTACATGAAAAGCAACAGTAATGCAACTGTATCACACCTGTCCCTGTTTCCTCACCCCCTAACAGGAAGTGTAATTGAAGAGCTTTTCTTGTAAACAGCAGCTGGTTTAGATACAAAATACTCTCTATTTGGTATGGCTTGGTTTTGTAACTTTATTCCTCTACCATGCTTTATTAATGTCTGCTGCATCAGATCCTCAGCCTTGCCCTCTTGCACCCTTCACTGGCTTTATTCTTGGTTCTATTCACCTTGCTAGTTCCCCCCCCCCCCACTGTTACTTATTGCTTTTTAATCCTGTCTTACCTAGCTATGCTAGTAAGAACAGGACTCAAATCCACACCCCTCTCACCTGACATCTGAACTACCTTCCACCTAGGCCACCCCTCTGCCATGTTTATTTAGAGCAGTTATTCTAAAACTCACACTCAACCCCTTGTGATCTTTGAGCCAGGAACTGCTAGAAGCTAGTTCTCCAGCTCGTGTCTGACCCTGCCTCTGTCATCTAACATCTGTACAAGGAGCTGGAGTGGTGGTAGACATGAGTTTGATGAGCTAGTGTGCTAAAAATAATGTAGCTGTGGTAGCAGATGCTGGCCATGCCAACTGCCTGCAGGTCTAAGTGGGTTTGTGGTTAGTGTGTGGAGCATATGCCACAACTACACCTTTTAGCACTCTAGTTCAAGAGCGCATATGAGGATATCTGAGCTGGGAATCACACCTCCCTACTTAATGCAGCAGACATCACTGAGTCCTCTCATACTGCCTAGATTGGATGAGCCATAGGAATGCTGGGCTTCTTTGCTGCTGCTTCCAACTCCCTTTTGAATAACACTTTAGTGTCCCACTAGGCTGCTATTAGCTGCCATCCACCTACCTCTTCCTCTCTGCTTTCCATTCCTGGCTTGCCATCTCCCATGCTTATTCTGACTTATACTGCACACCTCATCTTTGTTCAACCTGCACCTCGGGTTGAACAACTCACTGAAAGCATAATTCGTTCAACTTAAAGCTCTGGGCTTTCAGCATCAACCATCTATCACTCCTAGTATTCTGCCAACCAGCCTTTGCCTGCTAATCCATCAGCACTCATTTGCTGAGTCCAGTCCTCCCTTTCGTTATGTCCGACTTTACCCTGCAGCATATCAGCAGCAAGAGAGGAAGTGAATGTTGATTGAACAAGGGCTGAAAGTTGGCAAGGTTGACACTAGTGTTAAGGGTGGAGAACAGCAAGACAAGATAAAGTGAGACATGTAATGAAAGGGCGGGTTGGGCTGGGGTTTTGCCAGCTATCTTGACTTCCTCCATTACATTTGTGTTCTGTTGTATCCTAATGCCGTCAACCCCGAAGTCCAGGCCATCTCTTTGCCTCTTTTCACACTCCTTATTAAACAAGAGAGACAAAATACATGGCCCTAAGCTTTCCCTCCTACCATGCATCTTTGTCCTATTCCGTATGGGGGGAAAAAAAGTGACCTCTACTTGGTCCATTTCTTCATGGCCACTGTTTTTAACTTCTGCCCAGCTCTTTGGGCAGAAAGAAAGCACTTGGCTCAGCATTCCTCCCTGGGTTGGTGAATCCCCAAGGCTATGCCTACACTCGAGGCTTCTTATGTGAGAAAAATGCAAATGAGGCTAAGTGTGGAATATCACAGCCTCATTTGCATACCTAATGAGCTGCCATTTTTGCAGAAGAGGCTCTTGCACCAGAAGGGGGAGCTGTGCAAAATTCCTCTTGTGCAATGCCATTCCTGAAAATAATCGGCATAACGGCATTGCGCAAGAGGGTTTTTCTTGAGCAAGAAGGGGCAGTGTAGACAGCTTTTTCTGGCGCAAGAGCCACTTCTGCAAAAAATTGTGGCTCATTAGGTATGCAAATGAGGCTCAGTGATATTCCACGCTTAGCCTCATTTGCATATTTCTTGTGCAAGGAGCCTCGAGTGTAGACATAGCCTTGAGGATTAACTGTCCCTGCTGGCTTTGCTGTATAAAGACATGGTAGAGCAGTTAAGAAAGCATTGGGTCAAATGCAAGTGGTATCTGAGGCAGCTTTTCTGGCTCAGTAGACAGGAAGTTGAGCCCAACCTGCCTCCAACCTTTTGTAACCTCTGTTGGGTCCTAGGGCTGGGAATGAAACAGGCAGATGAAGTTCCCTAACTACCCATTCAGCCCCAGCTCCAATGGAGGGAGAATGGACCAGTAACCCTAACCCTAACCCTGCTGCAGAGCATGGAGAGTGCACGTTTCAGGGGGTGAGTCCCAGGGCACTCCTGCAGAACAGAGGGAGGGACTTGAGAGGGCACAAGTCATCCTCTTCAAGAGGACTGGGGAAACAAGCCAGGCTCCTAATAAGTCCTCATCCTTCCTAAGTCAACCAGGAAGATGATGCCAGACATGTTTTTGCCTTCTTAAGGGAAGGGGATGTCCCCTGCTTCCTCCACTACTGAAGGTGAGTGGCTGGCTCTGAAGAACCTGCTCAGGGTTAACAGGAAAAACAACAAAGTCTAGTAACACCTTAAAGACTAACACAACATGTAGATGGTATCATGAGCTTTTGTGGGCACAACCCACTTCAGATGACCTGAGTGTTGGAAGTCCAGATCTAAGAATAAATAAGGGGGTGGGGAAAGGAAGGAAAAAAATGGAGGGGAGGAAGAAAAAAGACAGTGAGTAGATAAGCTTCAAAGGGATAGCTGAGTTATTCTGTAACAAACTTGAAAAAACAACAAATAGTCTAGTAGCACCTTATCAGCCTCTTGTAACTATTTAGTCTTTTAAGAACCATTAGTTTGCACTTGGAAAGGAAGA